GGTTAGGTTGCATTTGTGTCTTAGAAACCTAAAGAGGACTGACTAACTGTGTGACTGAAGGACAAAGGCTATTACGTTTTAGAGGGTCCCACCTGAGACAGTAAGTGTTAAAATCAAAGTCTTTGTATAAAAGCTCAGACCTAAATTAAAGTAAGGGCATCTATCTCCCCACCCTCCGCGTAGGAGCACAGTTAAAAAGACCACCTGACTTAAAGCCACAGTGTGACTGACGCCTTTAGCTGGAAGGTGATTCAGTCACATCATTCTGCATGTTGACCAGTTTCAGTCTAATCCTCACCAAAAAAATTCCATTCATAGATAATTTCATCAAAGAAGTTTATTGATATAAAAGGAAATGCTGTCACCTAACTACCAAAACTTGTAAAAATTACTAAACTGGAATTCAATCAAATTCATTTAAAAGCTTGATTATCCTTGAATAAACTGACATTTAGTTATAACGAGCTTACAGAGCCAAGACTAAAAAAGATAAAGGGAGGTCAAATTTATTTACACAGATGTTCATCAAGGGTTATTTCTGTATGGTTTACAATAGTGAAAGTTATAAATCACCAAATACCCAATAAGAGACTAATTCAATATATTATGGCACATTTCTATGCTGTAAAACAACACTCATTTAATATATAATCACAAAAATGCCCCAAATATAAATATGTTTAGAGAATGTGTGCTTATGGTTTGGCCTTCCTTTGCTCTTCACTCCTTTTTTGGGGGGAGAGGGGGACCTTCCTTCACTCTTACCCTCCAAAGATATTTAGACCTTCTTAAATGACAAGAAGTTATTCTACTCTAATCCCTAATCTCCCATCCTCTTCCTCCTCCACTACAATGAGCTTAAAATGGAGAAGGATTTTATAACTGACCCTAACTCTTTCTTCTGCAGGACCACTCATTCACTACCAACCTTGCAAGCTTTCCTGATTATCTCTTTAGTCACTCATCCAAACATCCATTTAATCAGGATCTAAGAATTACTATGAGCCAGGCTCTGTACTAGGGGATAGTACTTCACAGAATAAATAGCGGTATAAATATGAGTTACTGGATCAGCTCTCAAGGAGCCTGCAGTCTAGGCACATATACTTATAAACGCAATAAGGAGAGACATGAGAACAGATACACATGCACAATTGTTTGCCAGAAGGCAGGGAGGGCTGCACAGCACATATAACCTGAAACAGCACTTGATGGGCAGAAAGGTTGGTAAGAAGGACATTCCTACAAAAAAAGTAGGGAGGCTTAAAATAGAACAATAGCCTGTTCGGAGAGTGGCTGGCAGCTGCAAAGGCCAGAGCACACAATACAAAGGCATGTGATAAGGGAAGAAGCTAGAAGACAGGGCCTAAAAAAGCAAACTAAGAGGTCCGCATTGGAGCCTGCGTGAGAACTCAGCCTCCTGTCAAATAAGGGCTGCCTGCCCCACGCAGCTACAGAAATATCCTCTCACACAGGAATTCTCCACTTTCCATGCCATGAACTTTTCTGGAAGACTGCTGAAGCCTACTGATTTGTTCTTAAGATGTTTTATATACATAAAATACACAGGATTCCAAATAACGTTTATATACATTCCACTGTAAAGGCATATGACCCTCTGTGGAGTACAGTAAGGAGGGGCAGGGAGAAACGGGTCGGACACTGCAGCTCAGCCAGGTGATCAGGTTTAACAGTAACAGTGGTAAACCATGTTGATAGCATGTACAGTGGATATGTGATGAAAATGGCATTTAACCTCTACGGGCTTCCTCTCAAAAATGCATTAACCAGTCTAATCATGAGAAAAACATCAGAGAAATTCCAACTGGGGAACTTCTATAAAATATCTGATCAGCACTACCACATGTTTGGGGTCATCAAAAAAGGAAAGTCTGAGAAACTGTCACAACAAATAGGACCAAAGGAGACATGGCCACTAACTATAACCGAGTATCCAGGGTAGGATGCTGGAAAAGAAAAGGACACTACAGAAAACTGAGGAAATCTGAATAAAGTGTGGGTATTCGCTAAAATAATCTGTTTTGGTGCAACTCTTATGACAAATGTACCACACTAAAACATGACTATTAACAATAGGGGAAATGGTGAGTGGGGTATACAGAAACCCTCTGTACTATATTTGCATTAATTCTGTAAATTTAGAATTATCCTAAAAAATTAAATGCCTCCTGAAGGAGGAGGTTAGGGAATCCTATCTTGTCATGCACCATCAATACAGTTCACTCTACCAGCTGGGGAAAAAAAAAAAAAAAAAAAAAAAAAAAAAAAAAGCATAGCCCTAGAAAGAAAATGAATTATCCTAAAGTAATTTTTTTTAAAAAAAATCTGGATTTAATACTTGTGCTTCTTTAATACATTAAACTACAGTATTTACAGGCAGGTCTAATTGTGGTAATTTCAAAGTAGTGAGAAATATCAACAGTATTTCAAGCTCTGAAATTTTCTGAGATTGCTATAGTGACATCAAGCATATTAACATTTCTGCAGTTTGTGGTCTATAGGTAAAGCTTAAGAAGTGCTACATCTCATGGAGAGTTTAGTAAAAATAAAAGATATAATCTTTCCTATCCAAGTTCAAGACCACTGGACTCTGTCCATGAACTGCAGGTGAAGGATCAGCTTCTGAAGAGAAAGCACTAACACTGAATGGACACCGTGCTGCAGGATCTCTAATAGTCACCACACTGCTTCCTCTCATCACACCCTCACAACCACCTGTCCCACAGACAAGGCAGCTAGGGAAGCTGCCTGTGGTCACGTGACCAGGGGGGTTTCGAATTATGGAGTGTGATTCCAAATTAATACTCTGACAGAGCACCTCCAAAAACAGTCTCCAGCCCCTAGCTGGCGAGTTTTTGAAGAATACTCTACTGATTGTACTGTAGCTCACCAATGCTCCTATTTATTAAACAACTTTCTGCTTAGGCTGCCTCTGGCTAAAGCTAAAATGTAACCCTTCCTAGAGCTCCCTTTGGACTAATAATTGGGAGCAGCAGCTAACTAAAAGGAAATGGGTAAACAGAAACCTCCCATTTTTGTATAAATCTGAAAAGCAAATTACTACGTCTACTCACTAATTCTCACACACACAGTTAATATCCTTCTAAGGTGGGTGTGTATGCATGTGAGTCACAACTATGTGTGCTTCTAAAGCAAATACAGCAACTTGTGAGATTCATGGCACATTTTATTCAGTCCATGGCAGTTCTTTCGTTTATCCAAGTAGATATTACTAGTACTACTAATTCTCTTTCTCAGAACTAAAGGCGCTTATACTACAGTGAGCTGTCCCCTAAGCATCATTTTCAAATGCATGTATATCTGGCAGGCAAACTTGAAGCAGACTAAACATGCCAATCTGTCAGTGAATTATAACTCAACATATGGATTGGAATCCTCAGTCTCTTTGAAGATATGTCATATTTGACAAATAACTGTAAACCACTTTATGCTTGTATTTTGAACCTAGGTTTTGTATTTCAGTTATCACTGGCAATTGATAATAAGAGATTCTTATTATAAAGAAAAAAATGCTTATATAGCACTGAGCAAATGTCAAACATTATTCACGCAATATTTTTAATATTGGGTTTTACTTTTAAGTTGTAAATTTTCCCTTAGCAATGTTCACAGGAGATATTTGCAGAAATATTATTTTTCTATTAGTCTTAGTTGATTCTTTAAATAATGAAAGATTTTGCTTTGGAGAATGATTTTATCTTTCTTTGGAGGAAGCCAAAATCATCTCCATTTAAGGACACACAGCAGCCGCTGCAACACATTTTAGTTCCCCGTGAGAAAGCAGGCTGCATTCACTCTGCTGAAGTATTAGAAAATTAAATATTAACAAACAGTTTGCCCAAAATTACAGGAGAGACTTAAAAATCAGACTCTGCAGGTCTGGTGATTTAAGTAAATCTAATATATAAACAAAAATCAGAATAAAACAGGAAAATGCCTGGCTTTTCAAAAGAATTCTTTTCCTACTTCTACCTTAAGATAAACCATTCCAGGAAGTTCAAAATGCCATCCCATTTACTATAATAGAATCTCATTTACACAGTAATTTTCAGGAAAACTGCTGCATTAAATGAGGCACTTCCTTTTAGAAATACCACACAAAAATTTCCAATGCATGCATACCTATTGTCAACAGTGTCATTAACTAGGATGCCAGTGATTAGGAATTTGTGATTATTTCTCGTTTGCTAGAATGTTATACTTGATTCTGTGTCAATTTATTAAAATTTTAGTAATATTTTATGGTAATTTAATGCAGCTATTATAAAATCCTAAATACTTCCATTTTAAAATACAACTTTTCTTGTGGTGATACACATCAGTTAAATATGAGTCACTGTTTATATATTGTTAAAACCATAATTGAAGGAAACACATATGTATTAAGTACATTTATTACTTCTTACTTTAGCCAGCAAGGAAAAGCTAAATTTTTAAAACCAAAAATTAGTAGTTAGCCTAGCTTTCTGAGATACATACCAGGTAAGAATGAGGAAACAATGTAAAAATAAAACAGGAAAAGGCAGAAAATCTGTTTTCTGTGAAAATGTTTAATTATTGTCTTGTTAGAAGTTAACATTATGAAGCTGCAGAATTAAAACAATAGCAATTCAACAAAAGATGTTTGGCTTAAGTCAGTATTGTTATTTTCACTCTATTTAAATTCTTATTAATGTAACTATTTTCATTCTTCAATATTATCACTCTCAGTATATAATCATTTCTAAGTCCAAAGCTGCATGAGTCTTTAAAAAGAGCTTTCTACATCCCAAAATTATTTTTTTCATCTATCTCATACTTTTTAAAATCAAAAATAAGAAAATGAGGCACAAAATGTTAATGACCTCTCCACACCTAAAGTAAGACAAATGGCATTCTAAAAAGTTTGGCTGTGATAAGACTATGGCTGGCCAATCATAACTGCAGAATTCCTGTGTGACATCATAAGACCTCCCAAAAACCCTTTTCCTCCTCCACCTACTTCAATTGTTCCCATAAATCTGGTAACAGAGAAAACTCCCCAGCTAAAGGCGGATAAGACTTCATACTGCTCACAATACTCTATATATTGGGATCGTCAGAACAGTCAAGGTAAGAAACAGATTTCATTGATTTTGGTAATACTTTCTGTAATTCAAACTTACTGAACCTTTAAAAAAAGAATGGCATATTGTAAATTTCAGTTCCAAGTTAGACAATGAAATGTCTGCTATGACGAAAAGCTTAATTTCTAAATAAATGCTTATCCATTCAGTGACTGAAAGAATAAGACAACTTTGAAATGATAAGGGTTATTCATCTTTGATCCTGATTATTGGTTTATCATTTTGATTTAACTTTCACTTTAATTTTGCTTTTTAGAAGTACTTTTCTGCCAATTAAAATATCTTTCAATGATGTTACTATATTTGCTCGTGGTGGTGAGTTGATTTCTCCATGCAAAGACAATGGCTTCATTTTGTTGTTTGTCACTCTGATAGGAAACAGGACCGGAGTGGGCTCTTTCCATTTGGAATGCTATGAATAGTCGTGTGGTTGTACAACGTGACTATTCCAATATTGTCATTACGATTCCCTATGGGGAATTTTAATATACTGGTGTTAAAATGTATAATGTAAATTATTTTAAAATCTTGAAGACTTTTTCTTTGCTATAAAGTCCAGTCAACTTTAACAAACACTGCTTTAAAAAAAAAATCCAAGCTTTTAATAAACTGAATTACTTACATTAAATTAAGTGTTACAGGATCAATAACGAGTTGGGGAATTTTAAAACACTTGTCAAAACCACATGCAAAATTCTTTCTAAAATTACAGAATAGTACTACAGCACTTTAAAAACAGCCATTATTTTGGAAGCAAAACATTCCTAAATATCTCATTTGAGTGAATCTGATGAGTGTTTATTCTGCCTCTTAATGAATATGCCTTTATCAAGTTATTACTCCGAGTGTCCTTCAGTTTCTCCCCCTGCATTTAGGAGGGGGAAGGGTAATGAAAAATGGAAAAAAGTGAAAGAAATGCTCAGGAATAAGGATGCCACAATTAATTGTATAACTTCTGTGTGAATTCTATCTACTCCAGATGTTATAATCCTCAATATAGTATATAAAATGTGTCATTCTTAAATCTTAAATCTTAAATCTCAGTTATGACATAACGATACTTCAATTTTATTTCATTATTTTTTATGTATGTCAAAATAAAATTTACCTCTAGAATTCAAAGTTCCTATGACAAATGTTAACTCTTACCGCTTTATACAGACCAGAACACTGTATATCCATAAGAAGCATGCAAAGTCATTTTTAATTTTTGTCTATTGAGGCACCCCACCTACCTCTGAATATCACTTTATCCATAGCATGTTTTCCCTTTGATATTACACAGAAGTCACTGAGTGCAGGTGTTTTATATATGTATTTATTTTCACTCACATACCAAATTACATCCTCACAATTCAAATGAGACGTTTGTGAGTCTTTATAGTATCAGAATGTCACATCATATATTGCTCCAAAAAATTGACAATTTCTAGAAAGAGCATAAATTCTGCTATGAAAGTTTTCTGCAGATAGTGTGTCCAGAGTAACAATGACTACTGTTCAAATTTAAAATATTATGCATCAGTGCCAGACATTTATTCCAACTAGTTCATCTCCATCATAAGGTAAAATTTAAGTATGGTTTTGTTTATAAAACTATGTGGTTTAAAATTAAGTACTAAAAAAAAAAGCGTCAGATGGAATAAAATGGAAGAAATGCGAAACATGTTTAAATTACAAAAAAACACTTGAAAGAGCTAGAGTACTTTGCTTTATTAAGAGACATTAGTAATATCACTGTCATTTCCTAAAACTCAACTTTCAAAAATTATTTTAGTAGTATTTCAGTGAACATTAAGGGAAAAAATATTCCAGAAAAAAATACATTTGGTTCACATTCGTATATATTGTTTCTTAATCTCACTAATTAGAGATAGAATATTTGTATAGATAAAATAGTTAGAAATAAAGAATAATATTTTAACTTATTAAATGTATTATATAATATTTTAATTATATAATAAGATATATTAAACTTTTAAGTAAACATTAAATGTAAAGATTAGATTACCTTTCTGAGACTGTATATTTATTACCAACCCTAGAAATAAAGATTCAATTAAAACTTCCTTCTTTATTCTTGAACAATTTTCTAAATGCACTGGTGTATACAAACATTTCATGTGATCCTCTTGGTTCCCTGTATGTTTCACACTGCAGCTCTAGTTTACACTTTAGGAAACAGATGTGAAAAGGTGAATTCTCAAGGTCACAGAGCTAGGAAATGGTGGAGTCTTGGCCAAGAGCCAAGATTTTCTAACTCTAAACCACATGCACATCTTATCCACAGATTAATGTGGCTCAAAAATAAATCAAGACATTGGAAAAACAAACTAAAAGTCCTCCAATACCTTTAATGGTACTCTAAAAAGCAAAGTTAGAGGATACAAACTTGTAATTTAAATCACTTCATTTTATTTAAAGTTTATTTGTGCATAAGGCATTATACCCTTAATAGCCTATATAATATTATCCTGATCATTTTCAAAGCCAGGGATGTAAGAAAATTATAGATGACCTTAGCTAAGTAATACACCCTGGAAGGCAAAACTCAAAATAGTTACACAGACTTTAAAAGACAGTAACATAATCAAACAAGTTTCCTTTAACTTGTTTCATTGTTGAAATAGTCATGCCTTTAATCTATTTAGTTTTGATAACCTAAAACCCAAGTTAACTTTTCAAACTTTGTCCTAGTTATATATTAAATCTTTAATTTTTCTTAATTTCATTTCTGACCTTCTCACATTCTACCATTTAAAATATTCAACCCCATATATTTTGGGGTGCTTGAATAGAGGAATCTTATTATTTACGCTATGGGAATCACTAGCCTTCATCAATGCTGTGAATTAACACAGTCCTGACCATCCCAGCAAAGGAGTAAAGCTTGAAGTTAGAAATCCAGGAAATAATCCCTCTAAATAACAGAGACTTAAGCCAGATGATATGTAGTTTCCTTAAACATTCTAGAAATAGTGCTCAGTGATCTTACCCTACCTAATTCTTACGCATTTATTACCAAATAAACATGAAAATGAGACCTGAGTGTACATCGCCACCCCAGTATTCTTATAGTCAACTGAGGCCCTCTAGTGCTTTTTCTAATGTACTCCACCTTCAGATCTTAAAAAAAAAAAAAAGTCACATTAGTGGGCATCTATTTAACTTGGCATCCATTTTTCCTTAAAAGTTCACCTACACTGCCTCCCCACATAATTTTTCTCAAAAGAAGAATCTATGTCTCAACTACTACAGGGTTAAAAATAATGTTTTAATTGCAAATAAATTAATTTGAACAAAATAAACATAATGAAGACAAGCCTACAGACAAAACAGTAACGTGCCAATTTCAAAGAGAAAATCTCTCTGCACTGTTGGTCAATCAAGTTTCCTCAAGGCACAGCTTTAAAGCAATGGAACATTTCATTATGGAGTCTTTTTTTTTTTTTTTTTTTAATCCTTATCCAAGGATATTTTTTCCACTGATTCTTACAGTGTGACGGGTGAGGGAGAGCCTTTTGGTTGCCTCCCGAATGTCCCCAAACCACGGCCAGAAACCCACAACCAAGGTACATGCCCTTGACCAGAATCAAACCTGGGACCCTTCAGTCTGCAGGCTTTATCTGCTGAGCCAAACCAGCTAGGGCTTGGAGTCATTTTAAGGTCTGAGAATAAACGGGTTTTTATGCTTATACAATTCTTTTCATAGCCAGGCAGAAGCAGCTAGAAGATTCTCCCAAACAGCCAGTGTGACTAACAAAGCTCTGAAATGTTGCTGTCACATTTAACTTCAATTAGAACTTCCAAGTTTAGCGTTAGGCAACCTCAAAAGGAAAATCTATCAAAATAACTTTTGGGCCGAAACCGGTTTGGCTCAGTGGATAGAGCATTGGCCTGCAGACTGAAGGGTCCCGGGTTCAATTCCGGTCAAGGGCATGTACATTGGCTGTGGGCACATCCCCAGTAGGGGGTATGCAGGAGGCAGCTGGTCGATGTTTCTCTCATCGATATTTCTAGCTCTTTATCCCTTCCTTTCCTCTCTGTAAAAAAATCAATAAAAGTATATTTTTTAAAAAGAATAGTAAAGCGTTATTTTTCCCATTCCTCCAAAAATTACAATAATTATAGATGCCACAGACTCACAAGATAACTCTGTGGGTACTTTTCTGCCTCTTACATGTTACTCAACAGACAGGGATCTGGCATTTCTACAACTGAACTCCTATCAAAGCATCTTTCATATTTTCAATATTCTAATTCTAGGGCTTCGGTAGTTAATTAATTTTTAAAATGTCCTCACTCCTCTTGTTCCAAATACCTAACTTACTCATAACGTCATCCTATAAATGGGGGAGAGGGAAAGGGCTAATCTGTCTCCGTGGCTGTTTAAGCCAGAAGCAATTTCAGGACATCCCAATACAATCTATTTCTGGTTATCCTAAAAGAATGCTCCAAAAAAATCAGATAAAATGAAAATAAAGTGAAACTATTTTTCTAGGTTCAGGGCTCTAAGAAGGGGGAGTTCAAACTCAGAATGGTTATGACTGCAGAGAAAGAATATAAACCCCTGACAATCATGTTGTTATGATGTAGTAAAGGGCGCAGACACCTCCAAAAACAAGACTGTGCTGTTGCCACATGCAGCTTTTCAATTCTCAACAAGCAATAGGAAGCCTCATCTGGTATGAATGAATTCTGACTAATTATCATCATACAAATTTTGGAAGTTCAGCAGAACAGGTCTTAGCACATTTCAGACTGTACCACTGTAAATGAATTGGGTCCAATAAATTGAATGCATACAACAAACACTTCAGCATGTGAAGCAGAGTTGTTTTTTAGTTTTAGCATAAGATTATAATTTTGTAAGATTATAAATTGATTACAAATCACTTCAGAAATATAACATTTCTAAGTTTGACAAGAAACAACCACTATCTTGCCGAAACCAGTTTGGCTCAGGGGATAGAGCGTCGGCCTATGGACTGAAAGGTCAAGGGCATGTACCTTGGTTGTGGGCACATCCCCAGTGGGGGGTATGCAGGAGGCAGCTGATCAATGTTTCTAACTCTCTATCCCTCTCCCTTCCTCTCTGTGAAAAATCAATAAAATATATTTTAAAAAAAGGAAAGAAACAACCACTATCTTTATACTCAATTTGCTTCCAAGAACAAACTATTCTTTTTCAATAATAGCTGGCTGTTGAAAGATGAGATCATCTTTAAAGCATATTCCTTACACTTATATCAGTAGAGAGCGCATCTCTTTAGGGAACACTACTCGGTATTTCACAAACACCAAATACCCATTTGTACAAAGCCTAGTTCAGGTTGATGTTGTTAATCACTGACAACAACTTTTCTAAATTGTAATCTGATGTAAATGCTCTAAGCCTCACTTTCCTCATCTGTAATAGGAAGAGACTTGAGAAGTGTTTGGGGATTATATGTTCAATTATCAAATTCTGTTACTCTAATTGGTTAATCTGTTAATCACAGCACTACTTTAATCATTATCAACTTTACAAAAATACTAACGGAAATCATAAAAATCCCTTATTCAACTTCACTGAGTTATTCGAATAGTACCAATTATGCCCCAAGTGACAGAATACAAATAAACAGGTGGCTCCTTTTATTCATGAACTAGAAGTCTAGTTGAGGAAACAAACATATAAATCAAAATTGAAACACAGCCTGATAGATATCCTGATACTGGTAATGCTAATGCCCTCCTGAAAACTAGCAGAGCTGATAATCATTCTAACTTAATGGAAGGTTTTATTAGGAAGTGATATTTAAACTGGGCCTTAAGTGTCAACTGAAATGTGCCTGGCAAAGAATCCAAGGTGGAGGAGAGGGGGGAACATTCCAGGCAGAGCCAGAACAACATGTGCAAACAACAGAATCATAAAAGGGAATGAAGTATTTATGGAAAGGTGACATGTTTCATGTGACAGACACACCACTCACCAGTGTCATAATAGGGAATGACTCTCGTATATAATGCTTCATGATTAACAACTGGCTAGCTTCCTCCTTTTCCATGTTTTGTCTCAAAACAATTTTTCAATTCAGATCTTTTAAGCAATTTAAGTCCGAAAACTGCACAAAAATACAAGCTCAAATAGAAGTTGCCAATCTAATTCTTACTCCTTTCTTAAATGTACTGTTAATATATCCTTATATATCCAAATATATAAAGCAATTAAGAAAATCCTCCCCACAACTACTCAATAGTATAAAATCACTATATCTACTATAAGTGAATATAAGCAGAAACAACTTAAAAATGCATTTTTTTAAATAAGAGAAAACCCCTTTATTTCTATAATATTTTATCTAAGGAACTGGAACCAAAATAATTAAATATATAATGAGTTTAAGCTGCCATTTTCTAAGTAGAGAGTGTTATAAATTAAGTAACAGCCACTGGTATTGGACAATTAGAATTATTAGAGAATGTATGCTAGATTAACACAGGTTGTTGCCAACTCTTTAAGAGAATAAAGTTTGTGATATGTTGGCTAATGGGATCTCCTCACTACAGACCAACACTATGAAGGAGGACAGAGTCTCCAGCAACGAAAGCGGGTCTGGTATATAATTCCAATCATAATACAGCCAAGGTGAAGTACTGAAACTACAGAACCTAACTACTATCTACTACAGGGTTTCCTTGTAAAAATGAATGCTAAGGTCTCACCGATCCATTTCTTCCTCTTTCCCACTCACTCATTCTCCCTTCTGCTCTCTTCATCACTAGTCTCTAAAAAAACGGAGCTAACAGGTTTAGATGGGTTTTCATCGGATAGGGAGAGATGGGAGAAAGTTAAGTCTGATAGCTGGAGTAAGGCAGTAACATCTAGACTAACAATGCTATTTCAACAAATGTCAACAGATATAATCTCTAAGCGCTAATGATGGTATTTTATTCCATAATTTTTCTTATTTCAAAGTTTATTTAGAAGTACCCTGATTGACAACAAAATATCCTCAAATCTTAATAGCTATTATTTTTCTACAGTGATATATTGCTTTAGGTTTTATTTTGTTTTATTAATTATACAATAAAATAAGGCAGCAACTAATTAATTAATCATGCAGAACAGCTTGTGGAAGCTCTGAAAGAAAAGCAAATGGCACCCACTGCCTATAAGTACAGGTCATTCATAAATAGTTACCATCTGTGATAGATATTGAGATAATGATGATTTTATCGCTATGACTTCTGAGGCTGATAGTCTACAGTACTTAGTATCAAAACTTGTTAAAATGTTACTTGAAATAGTATATTCTACAAAACTATCTATAATAATAAAAGCATAAGATGCTAATTAGACAGGACATCCTTGGGGGGAAGGGGGACAGGGCCCAAGGCAAGGCCGAGCCCCTTGCATGAATTTCGTGCATCCGGCCTCTAGTGAAATCATAAAAAGGAATGACAAATATCTGAATCTGTAGTACTGGTGAAACAATTCTCATCTAACTATTTTATTTTGGACTAGATTAACATCCGAAGAACACTTTATTGCATGCATTTCTTATGAGATTTGCTCTAGAGCTATTAAGATACTAATTCTTATAACAATCACGCTCATGGAGAAATACAGTATTAATGAAACGCTATGTAAGAGCTTTTTGCCCAAGACAACAGCCCAAAACAAGGCGCACCTAAAACAACTACAGTTCTAGTCAGTTTGGGAGGAGGAGGCAAGGACTAAAGTCATCACATTCCAAACACAAATAGGACATCATGGTGACCTTCACCAAAAAAAAACCAGGAAGACAGGACAGACAAGGAAACACCTGTGTGTGTGCGCACACATGTACAGACTACAGAGATATAAGGTGATAAATACCAACAACATTGAGGAAGATGAATACAAAATTGTGTTTTACCTGTTCAGAAACCAGGTGCACATATAGTCCTAATCCATTTACTCTTTCTACATTCCAGGCTACCTCACAGTGCTCTCACCTGGCTGCCCACTTTCCCCCTTTCTCTTGATCCTTTAAAGCTTCAGACTTCCTTGCCTTCCGAGTCATGGAGAAAGTCCAATACCTCACTCGCTCTGCTATAAGAAGAGCTTCCACCATTGAGATGCCTCAACAAGCACGTCAAAATCTCCAGAACCTATTCATCAACTTCTGTCTCATCTTGATATGCCTCTTGCTGATCTGCATCATCGTGATGCTTATCTGAAGTGCTGCCGCCATGTCCAGTGCTGCAACCTGTCCCCACCAGCTAACGTCTGTCGCCCATGGAGAGGGGGAAAGAGACCACTTCCCAGGAAGAGGAAATTCTTCATGAAAAGATCAAGGTTCAGAAGAAATGATTAGCAAATGTATTCATCTGCTGGATCTTGTAAACATGAAAAAAGGCTCTATTTTCAAAATTAACTTTAAAATGACTATAAGTATGCATAAGGTAACTGTTGGTTTCTACAACAGAGCTTATAAGTTTCAATCCCAAATCTTTTCTGAGGATGAACTAGGAGTTTAGTTTTGAAACTGTACTGTTAACAAGTCACTTTATATATATAAAACATTCACTTCACTGTTTGGAGTAAATATAATTTATATTGTACTGTAAAAGCCTCTTTTATGTTTATTAAGTATTTTTCAGATCTTCACCAAGTACCAAAATAATCACTCCAATGACATGTCATTTTTTCAAATAGCCCACTGATTCCTCACTTTTTCTTTATTATTATACAGATGTCTCTTCAGTAACTATCATAACCTCCATTCTAAAATAGAAATTGCATTAATTTCCTATACTTACCTTAACATTGTTTGAAGTTCATGAGAATCAAGTAGGAAAAAGACCATACTATTACATAAATAAAATTTCTCTTAACTATGTTTTAAAGAATTATAGAATGCTAGTACATGTAGATAACCATAAGTTTATTTTCTCTAGGATATTATGATAAATAAAGGAGAAGTGCTGGTTAATTTAACTGCTGATAATGTGATTAGCCATAATTACTACACTAATAGAGTCTAACCTTAATTTATGGCATTGTAGTTGATTATCTGTGTTACAGTATATAAACTGCTATACTCTATCTTTGGAATCATGAAATCTTAAGACTTTATATTTTATAAGTTGTCTTCTATCCTAATACTCAATGTAGGCAAACAAAAGAAAAGAAAAATATAACATTTCAAGTATTGAAAGTAAAACTAATTCTTTTATTACATTTTGAAATGAACTTTTTCTTATTATTGTTTATGACAGAATATAGCTACTTTCCTTAATCTACCAACCAGATAGTAAACACTTATATGGAGGCCACTCTACTACACTAAAACATATGCCCCACAATGCTAGTCTATAATTATTTTCTTGCTGAATATATTTTCTATTTTCCCTCTTCCAACTACTTATAAAACAGAAGTAAAAATTAGTGATGAAAATATATTCAATCAAAATGTGGTAATTTAAGTGGACTCAGTTGAAAATGAAGTCTAAAATGGTTTACACATACTGTATCATCCAATAATTTTAAGTTCAGTTCAAGACATATTACTAATATAGCAATTATTAAAGAGTAGAGAACATTTAATTTACTGTATGATTTGCTAAAATATGGTTACTAAGTTACTAAAAGTATTTGAAAAGTCAACATTGATCTTGATTTGTAACACCAGTGCTGGCAGCGGAATAGTGATAGACATTTTTTAAATTTTCCTGAATTCCTGAGCAGCACTGGAGATGGGAGGGGGTTCGCTGACAGCTGAGGAACAGAGGGGAAAAAAATCTTATATTTGCAAGGGCATTTCTTGAGCAAAGCTTTACCTGTGTGTTAGAAACCCCTAATATGAACTAGAAACTTATAAAGACGACACACATTCACCTCACTGGTGCAATTACCCATGCAAAAAGTAACCAAGTTCTATAATTAGTTGCATGATCTTATAATTAAGTGGAAAATTTGAAATAACAAGCTCTATTACTTTCAATATATTTTTCATCACAATATCAACTTCAAAATAAAAACTGTGCAGGTATCGGGCTTTCCTTAATAAATTACAAGTAAAGATTTTTGTTTTTCATTCTGCCTTTAATAGAAATTAAAACCTAATACTTGATGTTTACAGAACACTGTAACTCAGGTATAATGCAGAACAAAAACCCATTCTTTAAATGTTATTTATTTTGTTTATCATGCATGATGTATAATAAAGCAATGTGTTTCTTAACATGTAAATGCCAAATACTTTCTACTGTAGAATAAATGCCAAACTTCACAGTTCTAAAAACAAATTACTTGTAAAGTGTTGCCTTTATATTTTAGTTTACAATGTTTATTTAATGCAAATCACTTATATTAAATTACCTTCTTGAACTCAATGAAATCATTATTTAATACACTCATGATTGATATGATGTATTATAAAAAATTTAATATAAGCAGTTTTGATGTGTGTTGTTTTTTTATGACTATCCCCATTATGATCAAGATTTTCTAGTATAGACACAAGAGGGCAGACCTACATAAAATAATGAATTTCCTTCTACCTAGAAATGAGTTATACTTTAGTTTGCAGTCTTATGGCAAAATGGAAAAATGATAAATATTTTTAAAAATTGTGCTCTTCTAAGTAACAGCATACTTTAAAATGTCTAAAAATTATATTCTAATACTATATAGGAAAGTTGACATAAAAAAATCAAATATTACTAATTTTATTTATTGAAGCATATATATAAATTTCGTTTATATGTTTTTCACTAACTAATGAATGTGTCCAATGGGTACTGTTGTGTAGAAGTACACACTCTCCATATCCCGCCCCTCCCCCAAGAAGAAATGCAACAGGAACGCGGAAAGAAATACATTTTTCCAAAGAGAAAACAAAGTCTTCTGGGTCAGACAGCTTCTGGGGAGGGTGGGAGGAGAGGGGTGATGTACAAGAGAGGGAAGAATCAGACATTGGTGGGCATTTCACATGGAGGCCTAGATCCCCACCAATGAGGGCACAGGAGGCTTCTCTTCATTCACAAAGGAAAATGCCCAGAGCGCTCCACCACCTGCACTGCTGCTGGTTTGGTAGAAAACGTGGGAATCAAGGGACACTCATGCACAGAAGACTGTGAAGCTGACTCACTATCCTGACTGAGTCCTCAGAAAACCACACCTTCCATGTTACAATATTAACCATCTGAGGAAAATAAGAGGGGAGGAGGCTGTGAGGATCAAATGAGACAAAATACTCCAAGAGCTACAAGTTCTACATAAACCTACAGTGGTGTTCGATCATGACTTGCCAGATTCTTTTTTTTTCCTCACTGTGAGAGTTTTGTAGTTGTGCTTAAAAATCATGCACATGCTCACATGAAAGAATAGGCTGATCCTTATTATAGCTCTGCCCTCCATGTAAAAATTAGACTCCACAGAAGTCAATGTTTTAAAGAATCTTTTTGAAAACAACTAAGACAAGAGCTTTTAAAAATATAAAGATAGCACTGGACACTCCAAGGGGAAGTTATTTAAGATTTTTTTTCTGAATCTAGCCTGTGTGGCTCAATGGATAGAGCATCAGACTGCAGAGTGAAGGGTCCCAGGTTCAATTCCAGTCAAGGGCTCATGCCCACTTTACGGACTTGATCTGAAATAGGAGGTGTGCAGGAGGCAGCCAATCAATGATTCTCACGCATCATTAATGATTCTATCTCTATCCCTCTCTTTCTCTCTGAAATCAATAGAAATACATTTTTTAAAATATTTTTTTCTGTAATAGTCCAAGTTCTTGTAATTAGATGAGAAGTGATCATTTAAACATTGCAATTTAAGTGTCTGAGTTTTCTTTACCTAGTTTCATCTTTCTACTCCAAAACTTTAAAGCACTATAGAGATTATTCCAAATAGGGTTGATAAAAAAGTAGAACTTCACAGGGTGCGTGCAAATTTTGTCCCTCAGCAGCTTTCTTCCTCTACCTTGTGCTGGGAAGACTTAAAAATAAGTTTTGCTCCACAATACACCTTCAAGATGCCTACCCTCGCTGCACTATTAAGTTGGGGAAAACTTTGTTTATGGTAGAGATTCATTCATCTAAGCAGAATGAAAGGAGTGAACTTTATCTTTAAATTCAACCAATGTTCTCAGTTACCTTTCTATCGCCTCCACTTCAGGTTGGAGGGGAATACTCAGCCTCTGGACAACTACAACTCTGTGCAAAGACCAACTAGAGAAATGACTGCCTGATCCCAGTTCTTCTATCATAAGCTTTTGAGAACTAAAATACATTATTTTTAAAATTAGGTGATTCTATCTTTCAGTCACTTGAATTGATAAATCACAAATAAACCTGGTTAAATTGCCCCTTTCTGACTTGTCATTCATCAGATATCATAACGATGCTGCTGTCTAATTTTGTGCTTTAAGTATACGTACATAATAACATTTTAAGAACTAGAGTTCAACACAAGAGCACAGGCAGCATTTGGGATGTGTTAAGGTTCTCACGTTAAGTAGTATGTATGTTTGGGGTTGTATTCAGATTTGTGAGGTTCCTAGGTAAGTGATCTCTTTTCTCTTTCATAGAATATATTATTTTAGTCTTTAACACTTTTATTAGTACCAGGAATAAATAATAATTTTTTAAAAAATTGCTCTAGGGAAATTTTGCAGTTTTTGTTAGACTTAATTTGTTTATATGAAAAGGTGCTCAATATCACTAATCATCATGGAAATGCAAATCAAAACCACAACGAGGTCTCACCTCCACCTTTATGATGCCTATTACCAAAAAGACAAGAGACTAAGTGTTAACAAGAATGCAGAGACAGAAAAGCCCTGTGCACTGCTGGTGGGAATGTAAATTGGTGCACTCACAATGGAAAACAGTTCGGAGGTTCCTCAAAAAATTAAAATAGAACTACCATATGATCCAGCAATTTCCCTTGTGGGACTTATCCAAAGCGGGGACACACACACACACACACACACACACACACACACACGACACCACTAATCTGAAAAGATATGTGCATGCCCCTTTTTAATGAAGCATTATTTACAATAGCTAAGAGATGGAAGCAGCCTGAATGTCCATCAATGGATGAATAGCTAAAAATGTGGCACATGCAGGGTGGGACAAAAGTAGGTTACAGCTGTGAGTTTGCGAAACATAGTTTATTCTTGTATTATTTATTAGTTTTTGTTATTTTTCATACAAACAACTATAAACATACTTTTGCCCCACCCTATACACAAGATAATATTTTCCAAGCATAACAAAGGAGAAAACCTTGCCATTTGTGACAGCATGGTTGAATCTTAGAGGGCACTATACTCAATGAAATAAGTCAAAGACAAATACCATATGATCTCACTTATATGTAGAATCTTAAAAAACAAAAAACTCATGGATACAGAGAATGGACTGGAGATGGTTCCCAAAGGTGAGGGGCTAGAGGCCCATATTATAAGTTTGAAAGCTGCTAAGTGTAAAACTTAAAAGTTCTCATCACAGAAAAACATCAGATGTTAACTAAACCACACTTACTGTGGTGATCATTTTGCAATATATAAATATATAAAATCCTTATGTTATATACCTGAAACTGATATGTCAATTATATCTTAATTAAAAGAACGAAAAGACAAAAAACTGAGGCCCAAGGATATTGAATCATCTAGGTTCTGAATTTGATAGAACACAAACAAATCCAAGACCTCGTATTCTTGGATTTATGTTCTATGATAACAAGCCAGATCCTATGTTTCTGTTTAAATTTTTTCTAGAATCGATATTTATTTTTATGTCCATTGCACAAATCAAGTTTTTCATATTAGTCAGCCTCAAATGCTTTTGAAGTTTAGTCTATCAATGCAATAGTTTGGGCATTTACAGCATCTAGGCTTACTCTGCTTTCAGGCAAAAGAAAAAGCACAACAGTCTGAGCCTATGGACACACGGCCATCTGCTCGCTGCACGTGTGCTATTCCTGTTCTCTCAGCCTCCACTGGAGGGAAGCACATGCTAGGTTTTGAGCCTTACCTGCATCGGTATTTCACTTTCTTGTGGAAACTCTTCAAGCTGCTGCTGTTGCCACGGAGCTAAACTGTAAGAGTCTTCCGTGCTTCTGCCTTCCAAGGGGTTTGTCCGCAGCTGCTCTGTCAGCCACATCTGTGTCCTCACAGAGGGCTGAATGGGAACTCCACCTACTGCCTGTTGGCCAAGCATTAAGTATTTCGGAGGTTCAAAAGCCTCTGAACTTGTCACATTGGGCTTGCTTTCAGGTAAGGCACTGTAGGTCATGTCCAAGGTCTGTCTCCTAAGAGTGGAAGAAGCAGCTCTAAAATCCTCTTTGCTACAGCTCTCAAATTTGTATTTACAGTCCAGAGTTGATGATCGTTTTTTGTTTATTTCCTTGTCCTCTAGCTTAAGCATCTCCATGCTATCGTGTAAGCAGCTGGGCCCAACGGTCCTTAGTTGTGATGGTAAAGCCTTGCCCCTCCCTGGCTTTTCCAGGCCACTCCTCGACTCTTCGGTGTGTGCAGCAGCTGCCTGACTGCAGCTATCCGGGGCAGTGAGCTTGGATAAAGATGACCATTTCCGGAGGGGCCGGAAGTCCTTCATGTCTAGTGAAGAGTCCTGCTCCCCCTTACTGTGGCTTCCCAGTGTTTGCAGGAGACTTGCAGTCCATTTGGAGCCATCCGATGTCAGTGACTCCCTGTGTTTGGAAACGGAAGCGCTGGAGTGAGACGGCATGACATGGGCAGTAGGAAGAGTAACCAATGATCGACTAGACTTAAAAGTTAATGTGCCACTTGAGGTTGAGTGATCTGGAAAGAAAGAAGAATTTCAAATTAGTGTAATTAACAGGAAAAAAGAGGCAAAATGCTGAAGGCCCAAACAAAACTCTGCACAAGTTTCCCAGCACTTTTTGAGAGGCACGTTATCAAAATAGGGGAGTAATTAGTATTACTTTTATTATTCCTTTAAGTTTATCTGAAACAGATCAAGCTTTCAAACATTATTTCCTAAAAATGAATTCATAACAAAATGTATGCCCATTTACCATCTACTGAGATACGTTATAGTCGTCCCATTTAATCTAAGTGTTATGCCTTTAAAAGAAAAATACAGCTCCCTACTGACAGGTCTTACTCATAAGCCAGCACTGACAACTCAGACACAACTTCATCAGAAAATTGTATTTTTCATCATTTTTCCTAAACTGTGGAAATCTGGGCCAAATCTAAGCATTTTAGTGCTTTTCCCAAACTCTAATTCAAATCCGAAATATGGATAAAGGAATTCCTACAATATCTATATATATAAAAGCCTAAGTGAGTTTGACAGTCCGACCAGTAACTATGATGCATACTGACCACCAGGGGGAAGACACTCAACACAGGAGCTGCCGAGCTGCAGTGACTTGGCAGCTGTGATTCTTGGGTGATGCACCCAGAACCAGAAAGGAGGGAGCCTGATTCCAGGGCATCATCCAAGAACTGCCCTCTTGCAATCTGGGACCCCTCGAAGGATGTCAGAGAGCCAGTTTTGGCCTGATCCCTATAGGCCAGGCCGAGGAACCCACTGGTGCACAAATCCGTGTACTGGGCCTCTAGTTAGAAAATAATCAGAAAGTGTTCCAGCAACGTATCTGCAGACACAGAATAATTCTTATAGTCCCAGTCTTCCCTAATGGCATCATCAATGATTTATTGCAGGCGTCTTCAAACTACGGCCCGCGGGCCACATGCGGCCCGCAGAGGAGTCTGATCTGGCCCGCCAGGTTTTTTGGGCAGTGAGCGCAGCCGAGGTGTTACAGTAGGAATTAGTAGTTCATATAGTCCGGCCCTCCAGCTCTATGAGGGACCGTGATCTGGCCCCCACTTTAAAAAGTTTGAGGACGCCTGATTTATTGCCCAAACTCGAACTCTTGTTTGGAGTATACTTTGGTTCCTATCTTTCTCTGCACATTCACTTCCAAATGATTACATAGCTACTGCCTTAGATGGGCCTTCACATAGTATTATCCTACACACAGGAACAGTTTTAGTAGACTCTATGTAAGCCCAAAGAATGAGTAAGTGCCTCTATACTCAATGAACTTACCATCAAGTGCCAAGAAATCATACTTGCCAAAATAAAAGCAAAGATTATAACTTTTACCAGAGGATATCTATAAAAGGGGATAGCAATCCAAAGTGTTGGAGTAGAGGAGGTGATTGGTAAAAAGCAACTTTCATAGTTTAGTCTATATTTTTCCATAACTGTTTGACTCATACCAGAATATATTTAAATATTACTTCTGAGCTCTTACATTGTTTTAAATAAATAAAGTAATGGGGAAAGAAATGTTGAAAAATTTGTAAGAAAATTCAGATAAAAGAACCAAGCAGACTAACTCAAAAATGGAATTCCAGTAGGTCTTTGTATGGAATTTATTAAACTGGAGATGAAGAGGGAAAATATTATGATGGAGAAATATAAGCAGAAATATTATAGTGGACATTTATCATTTTCAAACTTCTCTTCTCAGCTTCTACAGAATCATTTGCACTCAGGAAAATTCATACTTTGTAAGTCTAACCTCCCAAAATAAATTTTAGACCTCAAATAACCAATATACACCCTGCAACTATGATGCGTATCTTCAGAAGCACGTGCACAAGATTTCAGTGTGGAAGGGCGTCACAGGAGAAAAAGGCTGACTCTCTGTGGAGCTACTGTTGTGGGCTGGCACAGGCAAGGACAGAGGCCCAGCCTTCCACAGTGGCGGCAGCAGAGGTTGCAAGCCAAGTTCCAGCCCAGAGGTGGCAGCAGGTGGCAGCAGTGGCGGTTTCCTCCAGCTCTTGGTGGCACAGGAGAGGGACAGTTCTCAGAGGTGATTTGGGACATGTTACCTGCAAGCTTAACCTTAACCCTGGTTTCTCCAGCTCTCCCCAAAATTCTGTGAGGTAACAAATACCATTACATAAACTCCTCATCTGTTGTTCAATCAGACAGTCTGCTTCTTCTGCTGATTAGAATACTAATTGATCCAAGTAGGAAGCCAGAGAACGTGGTTCAAAAAGAAGGAAAACAAATGATCCCATTTATCAGCAGCATGGAGTGTCAAGAAGAGTTGCTCTAGACCACATGTGTCAAACACAAGGCCCGCGGGCCAAATCCGTCCCGCCAGGCCTTGCAATGTGGCCCGCACCGCACTGTCATCACTGCACTCCGCTGCGTTTCCATCACAATGACAGTTTATGACTGTTCAGTAAACCATTCGGCCAGTGATTTAGGCTGGATTTTAGATTTTGGCCCCTTCTCTGATTGAGTTCGACACCCCTACTCTAGACAGTTCGTGAAAGGTACAGGTGAGCAGAGTTGTGCAGGTCTTCAAAGGCTCTCAGAGGAAAGAGCCTGGCCTTCACTCAGCAAGAAATGTGATAGCACTGCGAGTTTCCAAACAAAGTTATGAGGGACTGGTAGCAGGGGCTGAGGATGGACTAAAGCTAAATGACTGGCAAGAGGGAGATTAACAGGCTATATGAAATCAATAGAAGAAAATGAAGGGGAATATGCTACTGAAGGGCAGTTCTAAATAAAAATAGGGCAAAAATATCCCCAAAAGTATTAATAATATATTATAGTACTAAAGGCCTGGTGCATGAATTCGTGCACGGGTAGGGTCTGGCTGGCCGGCCCCAATCTGCGCTCATCAGGGGGGAGGGCACGCAGGAGGTTGCAAACATATAAGTGAATATATATAAACACAATTTTATTTATTTATGAGCAGAGAAATGGTCTGAAAGAATATATCTAAAACTTAACAAAAGGTAACCCCTGCATAGAATAACAGATCAATGCTTTCCAATTTTACTTTATACAAAGTCTTGTTATAATTTATTTTCAAGAGCATTACCATTTAGTCAAACTTCAGCAATAAGGTCCTGTTTTGTGACCTCAGAGTGTGAAATATCTCAAAGAACACTGCTCTAAAGTATGAATAATATATCAGGTGACTGACTGGCTCACTTTCCATGTCACAGCTGAAACCTCTGAGAGCAGAGATCAGCAGTCTTTGCAGCCACTTATATCTGATAGTGTGCTACTTTCTTGTCTCTCTTTGTTGGCTCATTATTTCCCACCTGCAGAGAAAATCAACAATTGGTGATATAAAACAACAACAAAAAAAACAAACCAAAAAACAAACTACAATTCCACATCAGGCTAATATTTACTTCTACAAATCTGAAAACAAATCAAACGTTTTAAAATTTTTCATTTATTAAATTTATTGAGGTGATGACACTGGTTACCAAAAACATATAGGTTTCAGGTCTGGGTTTCCATGTTACAAGATTTGTGTATTTCACCGTGTGTACCCACCATCCAGAGTCAAGTCTTCTGTCACCATTTATTAGAACCCTCTTCAGCCCCCACCCCCAACAATTCAAACTTGAGCATACAAAATTAGGTACCCGGCATGTAGAGCCTCCTCCCAGACTGTGATTCAGGTAAAGTGGAGAGGGGGTCCAGGGAATAACACATTGTAATAAGAAGGGATTCTGCTATTCTATTCCCACCAACATTACTGCGCCTGCGTCTAATTCCAGTTCTGAAGCCTTCAAGTGGAATATCGTAAGTTCAACCATCACCAACACCTAAGTTCTAATGAAAAATCTTATTTCCTGTGACATTCAGAATTCATTACTGTCAAAACTAAGGATTAAAGCTTAGACCATTCACATACATATGCACATGAATACACATGTATACATACAATATGAATTAAGGAATTAAAAATTTGACAAGATGTATATCTGGAAAAGGACTATTATATCTTAGAAATGAGTCCAGAAAATATTAATTTTAACACTTTAAAAATGTTATCTTGGCCCAATAAAACACAGTCAGTTGGGGGTAGGTAGATGCAATGCAATTCCTGATGTGTTTTTATTATACAATCTAATTGTAGCCACAATCCCAAATGCAGATTATTACAATGGCTTCTAGCCCACATGTAAGTTACAACAATGAAATCTGAAACCAGCAGAGGGCATTTCTTTTAAAAGCCAAAGGCAAGGTTTATAACATTCACAGAGAGCACAGAGGAGCTAATGGTTTCAGACAGATGTCAGTTTATGAGGGAAACTCTAGGAGGGCACTGCTGAAATCTAATAATGCAAGTGAATTATATTTAAGACTAGTGGCCTGGTACATGAAATTCATGCACGGGGTGTGTGTCCTTCAGCTCAGCCTGCAACCTCTCCAACCTGGGACCCCTCAAGGGATGTCCAACTTCCCATTTAGGAATAGGCAGTCGGACATCCTTCTCACAATCCAACTGTTGACCTGCCTGCCTGCCTGACCGCCACCTAACTGCCCTCCCCTGCAGGCCTGGTTGCCCCCTAACTTCCTTCCCTTGCCAGCCTGGTCACCCCTCACTGCTCTCCCTTGCTGGCCCGATTGCCCTCAACTGCCCTCTCCTGCTGGCCTGGTCACCTACAAATGCCCTCCCCTGCTGGCCATCTTATGGCAGCCATTTTTGACCACATGGGGGCGGCCATCTTTGACCGCATGGTGTAGCCAACATGTGCGAGGGTCAATTTGCATATTACACCTTTATTATATATGATAACATATTCTGAACTCTGAAGAAAATCCCAGCCTCTGTATTACTCGCATGTTAGTCATACATGGCAATGGATAAATACTTTGATCGTGTCTTCTCTCTCTTTAGGGAGAGGCTAACTCTCTGCTCTCTCCTTCTCAAAGTAAAAAGGAATAAGACCACACCCTCCAGACCTATAGTTTAACAATAAGTCATGAGTCTTTACAGTTA